GAACATAAAGTAATATATATTTTTTAATTATCACGCGGTGGATGGTAAAATAACAGCTACAAAATATTAAAATAAAATTGTAAGAGTCAAAGTCATGTGCACTGTATTATGGCATGACAACTGCAATGATTAATATAAAATCTCTCTATGTGCAAACGAGCGCATTCACAATAGGTTGTGACGTCATGTAACAGGTTTATATTGTTGAAATATTACAACTATGACGTTGTAGACAATGATATAATGTTTAAGGCCAATTAGTTTTCAAACTTTTCGATACTGTAATTGATCATTGATTACAATAGTGGGTTTATCGACGATAGTTTCGTATTTGTTATTGACACATGTTATTTATAAAGTGGATGATTTGTCTATAAATTGCTACACGTAATTGTATAAATAATAAAAAATAACTCTAAATAATGTGTGATGGACCATTGGATGGACCAGTAATCAACAAGGGCTCAAAGTTCTACACTACAGATTTTTCTAAATGTGAATCAGTTTAGTTTGCTGCTAGCCTTTAGTGCTGTTTTAAGAGGTCGGTTCTCCTTTCTTTCTCAACTCTCAATTGTATAGTTTTTCAATATTATCAATAATTGCGATTCTACTTGCTACTTTTTACATGTTTCCTTTGTCACATGCATGTTAAATCTATGATACTACCGTCTCGTATCCACCTATTTTGATTGCAGTGTGGTTTAAAAACGCTTTAATATATTTTGTGTATAGAATTAAGAACATAAAGAACGTCAGCTAAGTGCGCTCATGCATTTCGAGAGCGGCTATGACTGTTTTTGCTCGTAATACACACAAGACTACCACCATAATTAACATATCATAACACGAAGATTAACTTTTAGTTGTATGTAAATGACATTAAGGTTATGTTTTTTAGGCTATGTTATTTGCTTATCAGACGTGAATGTTTTATAGAAACGCCAACAGTTAAATTGGCTGATTTATAGTGAGCGAGAATGAGTAAAGCTATATAAAGCTAATAATTTCCATGAATTGGTAGGAAAATTAATTATGATGTACTATCTATTTCAACTGTACCTTTACTATAAGCGGTTTTTTGCTTGGCCCAAAACTGCTTGACCCGAAACCAAATCAATCAGGAGTAATTAATTATAAATGCTATTTGATTCCTAAATTTAAATAGTCCTATACTATGTTGTCATTTTGCGAAAAGTTCAGTGATGAATGACAGTTAAATCCAGTTTCAAACATAAAGAGCAAAATTTTACCTTAGTTTCGAAACCCGGCAAATTTTGTAACGGTTGTTAAAATTGACCCACTCTATATCTGATGTTTACAACCGTTGACAAGAAACAAGTGTTAGTGAAGCGGACGATAAAAGGCTACGGGACAAAGGTCGATGTTTGCCATCTTGCGTCTTCAGCCGATGGAGACTGCTTTATATTTATATGCTTAAGTATTTCCAAAACCACTCTTTGAGTGCTCTACTTCAGCGGCGAATAAAACCAGAGCCACTGAACAACCCAAAACAGTCTGACAAGAGACAAGGTAAAAAGTATAGTAACTATTTCCTCAACTGTGGTCTGACTCATTAGAATCAGTAGTCAAGAATTTTATAATCCATTCTCCCTTAGCTAATGATCAAATCCGTTAGATAGGTAAGTTTATTTTATTATGTCTATAAAGTAATTAAACAGTTGGAGATTTAATTCGGGGATCACGAATAAGTTATTTTGTAGGGACTAGCGGATGAGCGTGGAATAACATTTCAGGTTTATTTATTTAACTATATTTTAGATCGAAGAAAACCCGGAATATGAGCCTTTCAGTAATAGGAGTTAGTATTGTCATAGATTAAAAGATTATCTATGGTATCATTTTATTTGATCAAGACTGTCAAAATAGTGAAAAACTCAGCATTGGGCAAAACTACATTGTTGTAA